GACACAGAATACTGAATCTGAAATAGTAAGTGGATTCTGGACTGTCTCCGTCACCGATTTAAACGCCACAGACCAGCTAGTGGGCGCCAATACATATCTGATCAGTGGACACATGAACCCTGTGTGACTTTGAGTTCCCCAAACCTTCAGCGAGGAGGAGACTTGATGCTGGATGCATCTAAGCAGAATGTCCTTGGTACCAGTCAGAACGGGCAGTGTGGAGAAGCACACTTCGTGGTGTGTCCCTGGAGAGCACCTCTGGGTTTTCGTCGTGGCCCAGAACCACGGAAGAAGGGAGCCGGCCTCTGGAGGACAGGGACGCGGTCCTTGTGCAGTGCCTCAGCCCCTGGTTCCACACAGGGGCTCTCGCGCCCAGACACTCAGAACTGATGGACCCAGGGTGGCCTTTTGAACCCACTGTGTATCCCTAGTGCTGCGTCACTCTCAGTGGGGCTGCCTGGTGGCAGTCTGGGAGGAGGTGCTCTCAGGACGTGTGGTGGGAAAGCTTCCGGGTGTTCCTTTGTCCATCTTTCACCTTTCTCAGTGTGACTGTGTGGAAAGGCTGCCGTAAGTCAAATGCTGCATGGCCGAGGTCTGGTTCCTCACCAGACCCAAAACTAGGTCTCCAAGCCTTTAAAAGTATTCATTTTCAATAGAGTGACGATCAAATTGTGTGGCATCTCTGAATTCACAATACAGTAAAGCTCTCAACCACAGCAAACTAGATGAATAACCATTAATAAGCAAAGCCAGCACTCATGGAATGTTTACAATGGTGCCAGGCCCTGGTTGAAGCCCTTTGTATTTCATTCGCACACAACTCACTCAATTGTCATTACCTCGCCCATTTGACAGGCGAGGAAACCCAGTGACAGACAGACCCATCGCTTGCTGCCAAAGCTCACCATGACCTGGTGGACTGCCCAGTCATGCTCTGTACGCAGAATCTGGCTCTGGCCAGGCTGCCTCCACGAATCTGAAGAAAGCTGGCCAAAGGCACCTTACCCGAACGAATCGAAAGATGTCCAGCTACACCATGTTCCCCTTCCGCCGCCTTTGGTGTGTAACCTACCTTCCTTTCACAGAAAGTCGTCCTGAAGACCCTGAGAAAGTTACACAGGCGGCAAAGGCCTCCTTCCTTTCTTTCTACACCCATGCCATGCTAATTAACCTACTCCTGTAGCGCTTTCCTGAAAAGCCGACTGACCCTGAGGCCTTCCTCAGAGATCACAGGGCAGCTTCTGATCCGTGTGCAGCCTCCCACCTAAGTGCTGGCTGAGAGCAGGCTGCCAGGCTGGCACTGCTGCACAGGGAGAGAGGAAGGCGGTTGGTTCTAAATGCATGTGGTCACAGGAGGCTTCCTGAGGAATTCTGGTCCAGCCTCACCTACCGACACTGATCTACCTGACAACTCAGAAGCCCCTTCTCACGGAGCCTCCAGGGGGAAGAGAGCTGCCTGGGTTTCCAGGGTGTCCCACAGAGAAGCAGGAGCGGCCCCTGAGCATTCTGCGTCTCCAGGACTCTGCAGGTTGGTGTAAACGGGATGTTGTTGAGTCGATCATCTGACTCTGCCTGACCCTCCTGCAGGGCAGTCTTTACTGCCCCACAAGGCTTCTGAGAGGAGCCCTGGCGGCATAGTGGTTACACACTGGGCTGCTAACTGCAAAGTCAGCCATTCAAAACTGCCAGTCACTCCTTGGAGAAAGGGCTTTCTACTCCCGTAAAGAGTGACAGGGGCAGAAACCACAGGGGCAGTTCGACCCAGTCCTCTAGGGTCCCTGTGAGTTGGAATTGACTTGATAGCGATGGAGATTTTATTTCTTTTTCAGGGTTTCTGAGGCTGTAAATCTTCATGCATGCAGACCACCACACGCTTCTCCTGTGGAGCACCTGGCAGGTTCGGTGAGCGGCCCAAAGGCTTCTCGGCAACTGTAATAGTCGGTGGGAAGTACCCGTATTTTCCCGGACATTATTCTGAAGCTTCCACACAAGACCCTCAGATCCAATTCTCTGAGGACCAGTCCACGAAAAATAAAACACGCCCCAATGTGGCGGCACCTTGAGTGAAATAAGTCCGTCACAAAAGGACAGAGATCGTATGATCTTCCTGCGATGCATGGCCAAGAACTGGCATAGGTCTGGGGATGGAAGTGTTCCAGTGGCCCCAGGGGTAAGAGGCCGTGGGAGAGGAGAGCAGGAAAACGCAGTGTTTAGGAAGCGCCGAGTCCCTGCTTCTGGTGATGGCCGCACCTGGTTGAGATAATTGGTGTCACTGAATTAACTGCACATGTGAAAATGTACCACAGGCAATAAGCATTAGGGTTGACAACGTGCACTCTGGAGGGATCCCACGCCTCTTGACGCCACGTGTGGCTCTCTACATGCACGTGGCCGCAGAGCACCAGGAAGGCCTGGGGCAGGCCCCCTCCCAAACAGTGAGCTTTGGTCTGATGGCTGGGCTCCCAGCTGCTTCATGATTTCTGTCCAGTTATTAAAAACACGAGTGAAGGCCCAGCTAGCGAGTGTACAGCCGTCACGTTGATGTTATGGAATTGTGCGCTGCTCGGCCCAGCCCCAACGGACCTCCCTGAGATGCATTCAGATGGCTATAGTTAAGTGACTAAGTGCCTTCCAGGCCATTTCTCTGCGGTGTCAATGCATTGACACACCAGATCCTGCAACGGGGTTATTACACCTGCTCAGGGTGTTTCTTCTGGCGTAGGGATCTGGGAGTGTGGTCCCTTAGGTGGTGGGACTTGGCACTGGTGAAAAGCCATGTGGAACGCCTGCCCTGTTTCTGGCTTCGGTCAAGAGCTCGCTCAAAGGTGCTTTCAGCAGCAAGTCCTTGCCCTGGGGAGAGATGACTCAGGCCAGCAAGGAGGCAGAAAGCAGCAAACTATAACCTTCCCCTCCGTAGACAATGCTCTCCTCGAGCCTATCCAGGGGCTTACTTGGTGCCAGCCACTGTTCTTTGATGTAGTAACTCTGCTAATTCTTGAAGCTGCTACGACCCCATTTTATACATGGGAAACCTGGGAGAGAGAGAGAGAGAGACGTCGTTGTCTTGTCTCAGCTCCTGAAGTCAGTGAGAGGCAGACACATTCTGACTGTCCCCTTAGCTGCAGCGCTGGTACACTCTGTCTCTACCCTGATCTGCTGACTGGCCATTTAAACACGATTATTGGACGGAGGGTCAGCAGTTCGAAACCACCAGCTGTTCTACAGGAGAAAGATGATACTTTCCACATCCCTAAATGGATACAGTCTCAGAAACACCCAGGGGCCATTCTACCCAGTCTCGCAGGGTCGCTATGAATCGCATTGACTCCACGGTGGTTACGTTTGCTTTTCTGAGACAGTAATGAATGGTTCTCCCAGAATGGCATGACTGCATTCTCTGTTGGCTGACAATAAATATTTCTTTCTCCATATGATTAAAAGAGTCATTGTTGGCAGCCAACTTGGTTCCAACTCTTGGTGACCTTACATATAATGGGACAAAACGTTATCGGGTCCTGGGTCAAGTTCTAGATCGTTGGTCCAATGTCCCAGTTATTGTTGCAGCCACCATGCATGTCGCGTGTCCTCCAACCTAGAAGCCTCATCGTCCAGCACCGCGCTTGTCTTAGCCCCCTCGTGCTGCTATAGCAGACACAACACACGTGCTCGGCTGCACCAATAGACATCGTTCTCTTTCAGGTTAGGAGGCGAGAAGCCGGGACAGAGTGCTGGCTCCAGGAGAACACTTTCTCTCTCTGTGGGCTCTGTGGGACAGTTCTGGTCTCCTTTCAGCGTCTGAAGGAAGGGCCTGGCATCCCTGGGAGATCTCACGTGTCCTGGCACCAAGCTTCCCCTGGGTCGAGGAGTTTCTCCGTGCAGGGACCCCAGGCCCAAAGGATGCACTGCATGCCCAGCTCTTCTTCCTGGGTGGCAGCAGGTCCCTGTGATATCTGCTCGATTCTCTTTTCCTTTATCTCTTGTTAGTCCAAAGGCATCGCAGGCCGCGCACACTGGAGATGGGGCTGTGATGGATTTAAGGGCAATGCATCCCACCCTAAACCCTTTTACAACAGATTGGCTTATCACATCAGATCACAGCTTGGGGATCACTGCCCAACCGCCACATTTAAGCCCTTCTCTAACTCTCCTACCAGACAATCAGGGTCTACCCAAGCTGGCACACGTTTTTGGGGGGAGACACGATTCAATCCATGACAATACTGGAAAAATATTGTCTTTATCCACTGAGCGTTCACTGGCTAAGTTTGAGGATGAGATCACTGTTTTAGGATGGAAGCTTCATGAAACACATCCCCCGAGTGAGCCCACTGGTATGTGAAGCACCAGGGGAGGGCTTCTAATGCCACGGACAGGTGTCTGTGTGTGCCTGTGTGTGTGCGTATAGCACCACGGTGCAACATCCCGACAGTGGGTGGTGGGAAGACAAGCTTACCCGTCGCTAAACAGTAACAACATGCATGCTGATTGTAACCAGTGAAAGGAGCGCAGGCTCTTAGAGATTAGTCCTAGGAGGAACATCCTTCTGGCAATAACTGCTAGCTGCGATTGGGCCAGTTCTGACTCCTGGTGACCTCCGAGGGTCTTCAAGCCTGTGACCTGTCAGAAGCAGATCTCCAGGCCTTTCCTCCAAGGTGCCTCTGGTTGAGATCACTTACGTATTTGCACCACCTGGGCCTGCCCATCAATACCGAGTCATCCAGGGCTTATCACGAATGGGTGCTGGTTGAGGCAGTCAACTGGGGAAGGCGGACAGGGCATGCCAGCATGTGGTCTTAGGGAGGGTGGCTCATGTGTAGTGATGGTCTGGGAACCTGCCCACCTCCGCCAAAGCCCGGAAGAGCAGACAGGCCTCCTGCTCCTTGGCAGTCAGGCGTGGACGTTCCTGGCCGGCTGTGGGTCCTCCCTTGGGGTAGGGCTGGGCCCACGGTGACAGGTGGGTGTAAGCCCAGAGGTGCAGGGTGCAGCTTGCCGTGCCTTACCTCCTCCAGCCGCCGCCTCTGCTCCTTCTGCTCTTCGATGCGCTTCTGGCGCTCGGCCAGCAGCTGCCTCTTGTGCTCCTCATTCTCCCGCTGCTGCTGCTCCAGCTGCTGCCGCCGCAGGGCCTCGGAGCGCTCCTTGTTGGCCAGCTGCAGCCTCAGGAAGTCCCGGCGCAGCGTGGACTCCCCTGGCAGGTTCAGAATGGAGCTGTGGGCAGGAGGAAGAGATCAGGATCTACAGGGATGGAGCAAGGGGCCGTCACCACCAGGAGTCTGCAGACCACTCTCTCCCTCCGGGGGGTGAAGAAGCCACGTGCCCATGCTCACGGGCACTGGGTCCTCCACGAATGAACGCATGCACCCCAGCAAGGCACAGAGTCAAGGTAGCAGGCTGGGGTTGGGTCTCCCTTTCCGTATGGACACCACTGTTCCCACCCCTACAGGTCCCCCACATTCCTGGGTCAGCACCTCTGTCTACAATGGTTGACACCCTCATCCTTGTACACGGCAAAGATCTGCAGCCACAGGCAGTGGCAGGTGTGCAAGCCCTACCTGCAGACTGGTTCTACTTCCGATTTCAGACAGGCAAGAACCGAGCCACCAACTGCAAGTGGCCCGTGGGCCGCAGTCGGGACATCGGCCCGTGTAGATGAGTACACAGCTTTCCAGCTTAAAGATCACTCTCACCCTGGCTCCCCTGCTCCAACCCCGCAAGGCAAAGACCACGCTGCTCCCGAGAAGCCATGATCAGCCGGAGAAGAGGACCAAGCCTGTGTTTGCTAAGTCCCAAGAGATCCGGGCTTGTCTGCTGCCCGCCAGTGACAGAGCAGGCCCATGGTTTAGTTTGGACCATGGAAGGTACATCTGGTACTTCCACCCAGCCCGTCGATGCTTACGTGGCATGGGCTTCAGTTTCCTCAGCTGTACAGTGGGGGCTGCGCCCACGTGCATGGATCAGAGTGAACAGGGGCAGAGAACACCACCTACCGCCCCAAGTGTGCCCTTAATGGCGTGCGAGTCGGTCAAAGTTACAAGTTCCTCGGTTCTGCGCTGCAGCCTAACAGGGAAGTAACTTTACCGGAAACGGTTTGTAGCTGTTCATTCTGACACAGCGCCGTTGATCTTTCTGGCAGCTTCCATTAGAACGAAATCGATTACTAAATAAATAACTACCAAGTGCCTCCTGTGGGGCAGGTATTGCACTCAACCTGAGTCATGGTGGTGAGCAGATATAAGTTTTCTCCCGCAAGCTTATCTTCTTTTTGAGGATGGCAAGCAAATAAACAGACGCACAAGTAAAAGCACTTCAGGTCCTAGAAGTGCCACAGAAAACAAAGCAGGGCGATAATTTGTATGATGGGTGGGGGGCAGGAGATGAGAATCAAGGGACCTCTTTTAGACGGACAGGTCTGGAAGGGTCTCTCTGAGAAGGTGGCAACTGAATTGAAATGCAAATGATGAAGCAGCGTCAACAACAGGAACAGGGAGGGGGAAGAGAGGCGGAAGGAGGGAGAAGGGTCTCTTGGAGGCACTGAACACCACCTTATCTTGCTGGGGGGGAGGGGGAGGGAGTAAGAGAGAGGGGAGGTCAGAAGACAGGCCCGGCTGTGGAAAGCCCTGGGCTGTGGCAGCCATGGAAAGGTTTTAAGCAGGAGAGTAACCTGCGTGGACTTGGTGAGGTGGCGGAATGGGTAACCGACTGCTGGCTACTGGAGCAGCGCTTGGGGAGAGGCCCTGGGGGATGGGATCCGGATGAGAGTGGTGGGGATGAAAGGTAAGGGGAAAGCCCTGAAGGTGCAGTTGGTGGAAGCTCCTAATGGATCCCTTGTGTGAAGTGAGGGCTGGTTTGCTGGGTTCCCTGCGCAGCTGGGAGATGCGGGTGGAGAGAACAGGAGTGGGGAATGCGGGGGAAGGTAGTGAGGGGGCTAGGCTCTGTTCGGGCAAGTGGTTAGGGTGCTCTGTGCGATGTCACCAAGAAATGACTCCGGGTCTTGAGGCCTTGTTTATGATGTTCCAAAGGCAAAGCTTAGTTTCTACTCTGAATCCAATTGCCACCAAGTCGACTCCAGCTCATGGGGATCTCACATACGTTCCGGCTGCGTAGACCACGCTCCCCAGGGCTTTCCATGGAAAGTCAATGGGAACACCTTTCTTCGGAGGGGCCCGACTAGTGGACTAGTCTCGCCAGTGGTCTGGGTCCTTGACGAACAAGTTCACAGACTGCATCACCCCGGGGCTCCTGCTTCTACACCTCCCCTAAAGCTTTTCGGCCGTGGTGTCAAACTCAAACAAGAAATCCCAAACCACAGTGCCTGTCCATTCCAGAGGCCACATGCTGTGTGCAGAGGTGATGGATTTGGTGAGCCCAGCCTCAGGCAGGCTCCGGGACATTGCCGATCATGTTAATGGTGTCAAATCAATGTCAGGAGCTCTGAGCGGCATGGCTGACCTAATCATTAACTCCACGTGTGACCCAGTTGTCACTCTCAGCTGCTCACTACCTCATTTCTAAAATGAGATAATCACTGTCCTTTTCTACTTTTCCGGAATTTATGAAGATTAATGAGATGCAGCTCCGAAAATCGGACTAGGCCCGCAATCTTCTGGGTGACACAAAGGCATGCTCCATTGCCCAAGTGCGCAGGCAGGACTGGGCAGTTCAGGGGGTGGCTCCTAACAAACGTTCAGCAAACGTTACAAAAGACAAGAATCTCCGTGCTGTAGCGAGGGACCAGGAGGGGGGCAGGGCCCTCTGGGCATCATTGTGCCCGCAGTGTGAAAGCATCGTTGAACACAGGCCATTTGGCCTTTGGCCTTTTCTGGAAGTTCACATTCCAAGTCTTCATCAAGGTCAACATGGGAGGGCCAACAGCATCAGTGTGGCAGTTCCATCATCTCCTGTCCATTTGCGAAGGGGTAGAGTCTAGCCTGTCAATCAGGTCATAGCCAATAAGGCCTTCATGTACTGGCCTTCTCCTGAGGATTCTGGGAACTCCCGTCTTCCTCCCTAGAGGCGAGGCACACACACTTTCTCTGTGCTTAATCTTCCAGCTGATAAGACCCATGGAGCTACACTGATGGAGCCAGAGCCCTGGAGCTGGAGGAGCCACGTGGAGACCCCTGCCAGCGCTGAGATGCTCCCGCCACCACTGGCTCCACAAAACTTCCTACCCACTGGCCTGTGACTTTCCTGAATTTAGCGTCATTTCATGGATTGTGTGAGTCTGAAGAGAACTTTATAGATTGATATTGGACATATGGGCTAATATCGGATTTACGGACTTGATCTGGACTGGGCTGGGATGTTTTCTCAATATTCAACTGCTCTTGTATATAAAGCTCTTTCATATACACATATGAGTGCCTCCCTGGATTTGTTTCTCTAATATACCTGGATTAGCACAGTAAGCATCAGCTGCAAGAAGAGCATTGGCCTTTGGCCTGTGACCTTGGGGAACCCTGTAGCAGGAGAAGAGAGGACCATAAGGCCTTGTAAGCTTATTCTGGTCTCTTAGCATGAACCCAGTATAGTGGGCTGAGTTCATTATAAGCATGCTTCTAGCTGATTACAGCAGCAGCAGTGGCTATGCTGGCCCTCCCCCTTGTGAGGAAGATCAGTCATATGGGAGGGGGTCCCTTGCCTGGAGCATTAGGGAACCACTGCTTAGATGGCTACAGTACAGGGACCCATGTACTCTGGTGTCTCTTCTCCTTGTGAGTTTACCCAATGGTCCATGAACAGAACAGGGGGCTGCCATGGGTGTGGCCAAGCTCCTGGACTCGAGGGGCCAAGAACACTGCTTCCGCCAGTGAATTAGCCCGAGAGGAAGTCTCAGGAGGGTGAGCACACCAGCCTTAATTATTTATCAGTGCAGACTAGGAGACAGCCAGACTCCATCAAAGTCAAGTGAAATTCAAAAGCCTGCGAGGGTTACACTGGAGCAGCCCCTGATTCTGAGGTCCACCGTGGGCACAGCATGCACGTGTCTAGTCGGGGTTTACCTCTAAGGGGGAACTGATTTCCTGGAAATCATTTTCTCTTGTGTCAGGCTGTGGTTGAAATGGCAAGAGATGTGACGAGGGCAGTGGACATGTGACGAGGGCAGTGGCTGCCAGAACAGATTTCTCATAGGTTTGCAGTAATGAACCGAGTAACTCAAGTCCTAGCATACCACCCGGGTCCCTCGAAAGCTGCAGGGAGTTTAATGTGGGTCTCACCCAGATGCCACCATCAAAATGCTCCTCTCTGTGCTACATGCTACACAGGTGAGGCGACCAGGCTGAAGACAATAAGCCACTAATCTTGGGTGGGTGTGGGCAAGGCAAAGGATATGCTGATGTCCACGCTTTCATAAGGGTCTACCCAGGGAAAATCTCCCCAATTAGTGAGTATGGTCATGGACCATCAGTAAGATCGCCCTGGTAGATCGTACAAGTGAACCTATAAATCAAAAGGAAGCTCGCAGCGGATTTCCCACAAACACCACTTCAAAAGGCACGCATTCTCAGACGCCACTCTCCACCTCCTACCTGGGCTCTCCGGAGTCGTTCTCCTCCTCCTCCTCCTCACTTCCGCTGTACTCGTACTCAGTCTCATCTACAGAGAGACGCCGAAGGTTAGCACAGAAAGACGTGACACATCAGCGGACCAGTCCCCTTACTTTTACCTGTAACCGGAGGCTCAGAGAGGGGGAGTTCATGGTGAGCTGAGACAAGGCTCCGTGTCTCCCGACTTGAAGGCCAACTGTGGAGCAAGGTAGCATCCCCGCCAGTGGGATTAAGTCTGTGGAATTCCCATGTGCAAGGCTGCCCGAGTTGTGCTTACATATTTGGCCCTAGGGCCTCACTCGCATGAGCAGCACTGTTGGTGTAGTGGTTACAAGTTGCACTGCAATCTGCATGGTCATCACTTCGAAACCCCCCGTAGCAGCTCCCTGGGAGAAAGACTGGGCTGTCTACTCCCATAAACGGTTGGTCTCAGAATCCAACGGGGGAAGGTGGGTGGGTGGGAGGGGAGGGATGTCACCATGAGTCACCATTGACTCAATGGCAGTGGGTTTGGTTTTTATTTTTGCCTAGCTCTTATATGAAGGAGAAGACAAGGAAGTGAAAAATAACCTTTCAGTCTGTGCTAACTTGCATTACCAGGCCTCTGAAATCAATCTGGTATTGACTCCCTTCACTGTTCACTTATTGACCATATTAATCACGTTTTAAGTAGGAGTTTCATCACAACTGCTATGGATCCACAAATAGCCTTGAGCACAATAAAGTGTGTGCTAAATATTGTGCTGCAATACGTGCTAAGAAGATATAGAGTTAAAAATATTGGCTTGACTCGCTGGGGCTGTTCATTTCAATTACGTGAAATATTAAGTGAATTAAGATGGAAGAATGAGAAAGGCATGCATCTTGGCTTTGAAGGAGGCGAGAACCCAATGTAAGCCATCAGAGGCCCTATGAGTGCACAGAGAAGAACGTTAAACCTTTTGGGTCTCTCCCGCGGCTGGTCCCAGTTAGAGACTCCCTATGTTCCCTCCTTTATTTCTTGTAAGATACGGAAGGCATGGTTTTCGAATGAGGACACTGAGATTATAAGCGGGAAGGTGAGATGACTGATGCCAATCTGGGATTTGGATCTAGAATGGAATCCACGCCTTTGAAAGGATTTTTAAATGGGTATTATTTTACAACCCGCTCTGTCCTAAATAGAAGTGCACACATAGACCAACTGAACATCCGAAAGAGCGGCAGTCATTCTTGGAACAGTGGGGGCTTTGGAAACGGAACAAACTGGGTCTGCGGGCTCGGGAGTCCTTCTCAAGGTAGCAGAAGGGCATTCCAAGCCAGGGAGCCACTGGGTAAGGCTGGCACCTGATGCACTCAGGAACCAGCGTCACCACCGGCTAGCAGTCTGGGTGTGGGAAAGGATGGGTAAACAGAGCATCCTAGGCCCACCAAGGTGAGCACTACTCTGTAGGCAGCCTCTGGAGGACGTCTATCCGGGGAAATGTCTCACTGCTGTCATTCTGTGCAAGCTGTGGGCGGGCTGGCGAATTACAACTTTGTAGATTCGGCATTCCTAAAAAAGAACTGGAACTGCAGTTTGATTGCATGGACCACCAGGAGGCAGATTTCACACACTCAGAATAATGCCACTTGATCATAAACTTAGATAAACACACCTTTCCTTCCATGCCATTGAGGTACTAATTCAGAAATACTGAACTCACTGCCCTCGAGTCAAAGTGGGCTCATAGAAGCCCCTGTGGGCTGTAACTGAGACTGTAACAGTGATGGGAGGAGAAGGCCCAGTTCCTCTTCTCCCTCCGGGTGGTTTCAAACCGCCAACCATACAGATTGCAGGCCAACCACGGGGCTCCTTTAGCCACTAACGTGAGCAAGACAGGCCAACCAGAATTCAATGAATCCAAGTGCATTTTAAATCAATATGTTTTTGACATATAGATCTGTTTGAAATTTTGGGGCTACTTATTTTAAAAGTATTATCTCATAAAAATACAACTAGCCCAAACAAAGTTAGTTTAACATTCCATACTGACCGTTTAATATTTAACACTTCCCTGAAATACATACACAGGGAGTTCCAGGTAAAACACAGAAAAAAATATTTTTTTTTGTTGTCCTCAAGTTTTGGTGCACCGTGGTGGGGTGGGGTCTGCATGCACACTCCCAATTCAAAAACAGCAAATTTATGTGACAAAGGACATTATGGCAAGGAAAGAGGCACATGATCCATCCGATGGCTTGCACTCTCTAGGGTAAAAGCTTCACTTGTTCAGGTCCTCAATTTTAATACCTCACCAGAATCTGGTTTTATTGCTTTTATATTGCTTGGCTAAATTAGCATGAATCTAAGGAAAAGGTAATATAAGGTTGTTGTTGTTTTTTAAAGGCTGAACCAAAATAAAAAATCAATGCAAAATGAAAGCAATTGATCCGACCTGAAGTTGGACATGAAAGAGCTGTGTGCAGGAGTGGGGTGGGGTGGGGGAGCCTTACAGGACAGCCCCGGGTCATGTGACTGAACAGTCGCCAATGGAGAGAGACCTCATTGGCTCAGAACCCCTTCCTGGAACAGCAGATAAAACTGCTCCTGGCAGCCCTACATCTAACCAGGACTGGGTGGGTCAAGGTATCACGTGACTCTTGAACACACCCCTGGGGTGCAAGGAAAGGTCAAGGGCTCCAACCTTGCAGGGGCTGTGGGGGAGAAAAGACCCCGTGTGGCCCTCGAAGGCCGGTCCACTCCATCCTGCAAGGTCTCGGTCAGCACGCAGCATGAACAACCTCCCCGGCTCTGCCCCTTCTGCTTGGCAGAGGACGAACACAGACGTCCACCTCGTGGCACGGTGACTTCTGAGGCACATGTCCCAGTCTGAGCCCAATGGATGGCAACAATTCAAGGCCTGGGCTCTCCCCCACTCTCCTGGGTCGGACGGAGGGGACTGTATGAGCTCTCACCTCTCCAGGATCCCTCCCTCGAGAGTAGCACTGAACATTACATCGTGTTTCAGGATAGAATTGCTCAGTTGCTTCTTGTTGTCCAGAGTGGGAACCAAGGGCCCCAGCTCCTGGAGACCTTTCTAAGTGTAACAGGGTCTGGTCCTCTGTCATCTTCAAGGCTGCTGGCCTGGTTCAGGCCACTGCTATAGCTGCTGTGTCCCCTGTGCCCCTGCGAGGTTCTTCATGGTTGCCAGCCTGCTACTTTGCCAAATCGGAGACTAACTACTATTTGGCGAGTGCTTCGACAGGCCAGCCTGCGGGTTGAGCGTCTCATGTTATGGTCTCTTAGCGTGTTTCTCACAATCCCGGGCAATCAATCATACTGTGACATCCCAGTCCTATTTCTTAAAAAGAAGAAGTTGGGGGTGATGGTGGTAAGAGCTGGCATTGGGACCCAGGTCTGGTCTGAAAACAGAACCTGGTCCTTCCCAGAGAAGTCTGCCCTTGGACTTGCATGTCTGATGAATGGTTCTGTCACAGGCCCAAGACCACCATCAATAAACTACTGTTAAGTGGCGGGACATACGGACCCGGGCTCTTCTTGCCAACATCCTCCAGCTCGGGGGGGCTTGGGGGGGCTTCCCCGCTCCTGGGGTTCAGATGACTCCTCCCTCTGTTCCACAGACTCCGGAGAGGGGCCTCTTTTAGTCTTTGCCCCATGAGCGCCCTCTCCTGAGCCTTCTAATCTCTCCAGGCACTCCACTCACTGTCCCTTCACGGTCCCAGGAACGACTCTCACCTTCAGTCTTCACACAAGCTTTCTCCTCGGCCTACCCAAATCCGGACACTACCACTCCACCCGGTCCGTGCCTCACATACTGCCTACCAGCCCCCCCTTCGTTCCCAGTCCACACCGAGATGGAAGCTGCCTTCTGGATATCCACTGCGGAGGCCAAGAAGAAGGGATGTTTAAATAAAAGGGGAGCAGGCTGCACCGTCTCCCACTTGCCCGTCTGGGTGGTGAAGCAAAGGGAAGCGGCAGAGAGGAAGGACGGGTGGAAAATCACATCCTGACGTGTCCCTCCACACCTCACTCTCCATGCTCTCACGCCGACCTTGCCAGCCCCATTTGGTCTCCTCCCTGCCGCCCCCCTGTTATCTGCACTCTCCTGGGATCCAATTTACTTGTCTCCTCCAATTCTGCCTTCTCACGCCTTAGCCTTCCCTACCCTGCCTTCAACTCCCCACGAAAACCGGCTCCAGACACGTGCGTTCTCTGTGTGTGCATAGAGAACCATAAGCCTCCCACCAAACAACCCGAGTACAGCCTCAGGACCCCCGTGTGGATGATGTTTCCCCCAACACTGTAGCGGCTAAAAGCTTGTGCTTAACAGGGAGCGCTGACTTAGAGTTTGGTTTCTATAAAATAAAGACTCTCACTGAATGGGCTTGTGGCTCAAAAATCCCATGCTCCTGGCAAGCTAATCACCTTTTATAAATCTGCAGGTAGACGAAAACTTCATCCTGCCTCCGAAAGAGCTGACTTCAAATGAGCCTCACTGCACAGATACTCCATGGTGAAGTCTGACCGCGCAGAAAAGCTGATGACTCGCCCCTCCCTTCTCTTTTAAGATTGTCTGTCTTCTGTACGCTTCTAGTCTTGTGAACACGGATATTCATTGGGATTCAGAGGATCACTTGTCCTTTCTGAGCAGCGCTGCACATGACTGCTCAGTGGCCAGAAGAGGCACCGTGCCTTGCAGTCTGCCCCTCTGGGAAAGGGCTCCATCCCAGCAGTCCCACTCCATTGGTGGCCCCAGGCTGCGATCTCGGAGGCAGAGCCCCTCATACAGAAGAAAGACCCAGGCCCATTGAAATCCCCACAGCCCCTTCCAGTATCAAGGGCCCTGTGACTCATCCTGCCTTTTGTTTCCCTGCTGAAATACAAAGGGGCTTCTAACCTTTCTCTCCTCGCTTCTTCTTGGTTCTGTCGATATGGTCCTTGAGTTGAATGCGGACCTGTCGCTCATTAGGTTGGTCTCGTATAAACGGATGCTTCATCAGCTGCTCGGTCGCTGGCCGCTGGCTGTGATTCTTTACTAAGCAGCTCTCAATGAAAGACTGAAATTTTTTTGACCTGCCAAATGAAAGAGAGGAAGCCCCAGATCAAGTGACGGTCTGAGAAAAGACAAATGCCTTGTTTCGGACTTGCTGGAATGAAAGATCAATGGTCTAAGAAGCCACTGTGAGTTGCTGGGTGGTACCAATGGATTGGCAATTGACAACTAGCTGAAAAGCTGGAAGTTCTAATCAACTCAGAGGCCTCAGAGGGCACACCTCGGACACCCCGTGGGGCGGCTCTGTTCGGCACGCACTGTATCTCCGCAAGTCAGATTGAACTTGACAGCAACTAGTGCTGTCCCGATAACAGATGAATCCACCAGGCCCAAAGTGGGTCGAGCATGACAGTGGGTACAACGCTGTCCAAAGGCAGCCCAAGGAACAGAACGGTGGGCGTGTCGAGGGCACCCTCAATGCACCAGCAGTACACAGTTGAGGCAACACAGGAACTCATATACAAATGAAAGGGTTTCTTCATCATGTAACCTGGGCCTCTGAGCTGGCAGGGTTAGGGAAATGAGGAAACAGAGCTAGACCTTAAAGGATTAGGAGGAAGTCACTTGGGGCCAGCCACCGTTCAGATAGGGAATCAGCGAAAGATTGCAGCTGGGAGCGAGTCTCCCACGTGTCAGGGGACATGGGGGTGAGTTGCTTACATGAGGCAGAACGTGCAAAGCTGGGGCAAATAAAACTAAAGTCAAAAAGGGAAGGGGGTGAGTGGTGCCATTTGTAGAAATGAGGAAGATTCTTGAATGGGAAAATGAACTGTAATGAGGCCAAGTTTTTAATCAGTACTTTGTGAATCACCTGTGAACTTTACTTTCCAATCAGTAAGAGCAGGAGGCGCGTGTATGCTAACCACCCACCCAAGGGCTTGGAAATGGATTTTTAAGGGGTGAAGTTCATGGCTAGAAGGAAAGGAACTTCCCTCTAGAAGGGCGCTCAAAGATAAACCCTGTGGCAGAGCGTCTCAGGCAGTGAGGAGGGATACTGTACCAGGGATTAAGGCAGCATGTCAAATAAGCGGTCGAAATGAACAGTGGACTTTAGCTATGAGTCATGAGTTGGGCACGCATGTTCTTAATGAATGTCCCAAGAAATTACGCTGCACCATAAATAATTAAGCCCCTGACTCAACGGCAAGACTTTCCAAGCTACTTCAGTGGTAGCACAATACACCACCTCACCCCAGGGTCCGGTGCACAATCCTGGTCACCCTCTTCAACCTCTGCTGGCTGCTCAGAGCAGGCGGGATCCGCCAGGTGCTCTCCGTCGCCCTCTTGTGGAGCCCTGGTGTTATAGGATTGGGTCCCAGGAGCAAGCCTTTCCTAAGCTTTCCCCTATAGTCACTTGGGGCCTGAGCCCAAGGAACACAATGGTGGGCGTGTTCTTCGAGGGCTGAGGGCTGGGGGTGGGGTGGGGAGCACCCTGAAATACACCATTCTCTGTTTCGGTCCATGTCTGGGAATAGTCCAACCTCATGCCACTTTTTGATTCATTAATTAACTAAAGTACTCCATTATTGGCCTTTTCCCCTTCCTAAATTTCTGAGCTATGTTCATGCCTTTAAAAAACATTTTCCATGGAAGTAAAATTGTACAGAGTCCACTTTACAGAGGAAATTTGTTGTTGTTTCTTAAATGCAAAGTTTAAGCGAATTGAAAACTCACAAAAGTAAAATTTGATTTTACATGGACTCGAACAAGGCGAGCTAACACAAAGTTCCTACTGTGCTTGGTGCTCGCCTAGAATGAATCGGGAGCAGTCATACTGTGCCCCTGACATGGGGCCTACAGGGTGGCCACAGTAGGCACCTCACCTCCCTGCTAAGGCCTTCAGCCCACCCTCTGTTTCTCCCACCCTGGGAACTTGGAGGCAGCTGGGAGTGTGCTGGTCATCTTTGCCTTGTGAACACACGGCCCGTCCTTGCCCTGAATGCACAAGTGGATGAATGAATGGTTACCGGGTAAACGTTCTAAAGAAGAGCTGGAATACACCTATGTTCAGTATCTGCTTCTGAGGGACAGGAGGCTTGGAGACAAAATAATTTCATTTTAAAATGCTTTCTTTCTCAAATATGCTGAATAAACCAGTGGAGGCACAAACAGGATGCCAGCCATGGTAGGCTAGTGCAAGATAAATATAACGGCATAGTGGAATCTCCTGAGGCAGAAATGTAGGCTACCCAGCATAAAGGAATTAGACAAAGGCCACACACCGTCTCTGTAGGTACGAGACCAAACCCAAGACAAATCCCCCCGAAAGCTATTCATTCGATCTTCATAAAGCACACACATGGCAGTTTGCTTTTTCTTACTCGAAGCTAAAATAAAGCGTGTGCGTGTGTGTGTGTGTTAAATAAAGCGCCGATTCCTTAGAAGAGGGTCGGTAGAAGAAATCACATCCAAATTAAAAATGGGGTCCAGACTCAATAGACTATAAATTCCATTCCTTGACAGCAACACTTAGCAAAATGCTAGACCGAGGTAAGCGTTCAAGTCTTTTTCGAATACCCCTCTTGGTGGGCGGGAACCTCAAGAGATGTTCAAAAGCATCACTTTGGCCCAGAGGATAAGCTGAGGCATCAGAGCTACAGAGCTGGGCTCTTCTTCCAGCGGGACAGCCAGGAGGGAAGAGAAGCCTGCTTACTTAAAACAAGTCTTCGAAGATGGCCTCACGCTTCCTATTTCATCTAAAGTGACCAAAGGATCAATATGCTGACACACACATTTAATTAAAAGTCAAAACACCTCACATGTGTTAAATACCACCTGATGGTTTGCTGAATAGTCTAATGGGTTTAAACTGTGTTTATATACTTTTATTGCTTGACTTTCCGCTGTAATTTAGTCCTGTCTCAAAAAAAAAAAAAGCTTAAGCATAGTAATACTAATTTCCCAAGGGCTGACATAAAGAGACAAATGCTAATAATTGGTGCTTACACTACCAGCTTGTCTACTACCAGTGCCATTTCCCAGATTTATCTTGTTTAGATATTAAATTGTTTTAGTGGAATTAAAAATGCCAACAAAATTATAGCACTACCATTACAACCAGCTGGGATAAAAGTGGTAGTCATGTTGTTGGGGTGGGTTGTGGAGTCAATTCCAATCATAGGGACTTTATATGACAGAGTTGAACTGCCCTGACAGGGTGTCTGTCCTACGCTGTGATTTTTATGGAAAGAGCCCCAGTGGTGCAGACGTTAAAGCACAGCGTTACCACCCAAGTTGTGGTTCAGTTCACCTGAAGATGACAGTGTTGGCAACCCTATCGGGCCATTCGACTCTGTCTTACAGGGGAAGTAGGCATGGGAGCCACGCAATGGGCATGGGCTTGGTCTTCATAGGAGCATCTCTCCAAGTCTTTTCTTCTTCAGAGTCACTGTTGGGTTCAGACTGTGGACCTTGACCTTGGCAGGCAAGTGCTCAGTGCTTGTAGCACAGGGGCTCCTTTTGCTATGCATACAATCAACAAAACACCGCACAAACCCACTGCCATCTCACTCAGCCACCCGAGAGGTCCAAACAGAACTGCTCCTTGGCTTTCTGAGACAGTGAACCTTTACAGGAGCAGGCAGCCTCAGTTTATCCTGCAGAGTGGCTGGGGTGGATTCAAACTGCTATTAGCGCAATGCTTCACCCACTGGGCAAAAGTACTCCACTGGGCCATGCTGACCTTTAAACATTTGCATTTACCCTGTCCTACCTCCCAGGGCTATCGTCTCTAGTTCAGGTTCCATCACGAATTGTGTGACTTTGGGCAAACTGCTTACCTTCCCCACGCCTTACTTTCCTTGGCTGTCAACGGGGCATTCTTGCGGCGTGATTAGGTGTTGTCGAGTTAATTCTGACTCACCGCGACCTTACGAACAACAGAAGTAGACACCGTCTGACCTTGCAGCAGCTCCACAATCATCCCTGTGTTTGAGTCTGTTGTCGCAGACACTGTGTCGATCTATTTAACCAAGAGTCTTTCTCCCCCCACCCCACCCCCAGCCCTTTACTTTGCTAAGCAGGACGATCCTTCTCCAGAGACAGGTCTCTCCAGATAACCTGTCCAAAGTCCGCAAGACTGAGCCTCACCATCCTCGTGTCTAAGGAGCATTCCGGCTAGACTTCTTCCCAGACAGGTAGACTAGTCTTTGGGCACTCTCCATGGTATAGTCATATTCTTGACCGACACCATCATCATTCTTCTTCGGTCTTGCTTATTCATTGGCCAGCTTTCCCACGAATAGGAGGCAACTGGAAATACCATGGCTTGGGTCAAGTCCAAGTGACTTCTTTGCTCTTTAACTCTTTAAAGAGGTCTTGGGCAGCAGCTTTCCCCAATGCAATACATGGTTTCATTTCTTGACCATGACTCCCCTGAGCACTGGCTGTGCATCGAAGTAAAATGAAATCCTTGGCGCTCTCTTCTTTCTTGTGTCTCTCACCATATTGCTGACTGGTCTAGTCATTTTCTTTATAGGAAGAACGATGGATACCACTGGGCTTATTTCAAAAAGCAATGATGATGATCAAGTGGGTTCACTCACGAACGCCCCTGGTGTTGGCACATCACACATGGGATAGATGTGCTTGCTGTAGTTGTCCTTGCCAAGAGCACAAAGGCCCAGGGGCCACTGGCCTTTACCAGGCTTGCAGCATCAGACTTTAGGACAGAAGAGTAGAAATCTGAAGTTGTGTTCCCCACTCCTGTTGAGCTGAGTAAGTATCTCCAAGAAAGTTACTACCGGTATCTTGGGACTGGAAAAGGCAGCAGGAGAGTTAAGACGGCTGCTATTTCCAAGGAGACAGCTACACAGGTCAATTAAAAAATAGAGTTTGTGTAGCAGTCTTTGTCTTAATTCCAATACAGCCCAAACTTACACTACTGCTGGCAAATCCAGTCTAGCTTTAAGTGCGTATTTTATGATATTTGCACTATACTATCCTTATTTCATTAAGAACCCCCCAAAAGAACTCTGTCGTTTCTTAAAACAAAAATGCTTCTGTTATAAGGCAGCATGAAGTCCTGAACACAACCTGGACGAGCCTCGGAAGCATTACTGGAGGGAAACAACACTGTGGTCACCAAAGGACAAAAGCGATACGGTCTTACTTACACGGAATAAGCAAATACCTATATAAACCAAGTGTCACCCATAGGAGGCTGGGAGGGAGGGAGAAGGAGTCTTCATGCCTAGGGGACACTGAGTTTATGTTCACGGTGGTGGAATGATTTGGAAAAGGGACCGGGGATGATTCATGCACAACACGAAGAATCCAATTGATGCCACTCAGCCGCACCTGTAGAGAAACCTGAGGTGGAAAAGGCAAAGCAGGGGAAAGAATACTAGCTGGCCATGCAAGAATCAGAATGCATGCTCCACACAAGAACCTAAAACACGGGGGGTCGGGGGTGGGGGTGCTATAAGTGGAAGCAGAAGGTCACGGTTCTCGGCTGGCCCCACCAAGGAATCTCCACTGATCCTGGACAAGGCTGCTCATCTTTTCAGGCCTCAAAGCCTTCCTCTGGGGCAAGGATTGCACATCTCTCTGTGGTGACAAGCAGCTAGGGTTTTTCTGTAATGGTTTCGTTTGCACGCTGCCTTGTTTGTGTAGATTCTTCAACTCTCTGGAGCACGTGAAAGGAGCACAGCGGACGTGTGAGGTCATCCCCACCCTTCCTCCTCCAGAAGCCCCTGGACGGCAGCCCCAGCACTGTGGGGCAGCGGGGCAGGGCTGAGCAGGTTGGGAAGGGGGAGCAGATCTTATGAAAGAGATGGCTCCTCCACCCTCAGATGAGAGGGAGGGGGAACACCAGCAGTCTGCGAGGCGCACCTCTGCCCTTCATTTGCTGGACACAGGTGAGCGAGAAGGCTGCGGAATTCTTTGACTTCCTGTGGCCCACCTGAGGGGGGCGTCCTTCCAGGGACCTCGTGGTTACTATTGTTTCTAAAACCTGATTTTTGGTGGGAATATAAGCCATCGACCCATCCAGCGTCTCCCACACGCACAGGTCAGTGACAGGGGTTCTATTTCTTCGCAGCTTGTCACCGTTCACTCGGCCTCTCTCCATATAGTTTTACGCCCCTTGACTTCAATTGCAAGGTCCTTACACTCCTCTGTGCTTCTGAGAGTCACTGCTGCCACATGGATCTCCCATAGCCCATTCCGTGGACGAGCAAGTCATCAAGGTGAACGTCTTTCACCAGGGAGGCCTCCACTCTGACTGCGTGGGATAGTTGGCATAAGCCCTGGGGATTTTCCTCCAGGAATCAGATTGGGGTTGTGATGTCTCGTCTGCAGGCACACAGGACGACAGAGGGCCACACTGAAAGATGGGCATGGCACATTCAAGGAGTGCTGGTGACATGGCGGTTAACGAGCTCAGTTGCCTAACCAGAAGGAACGAGGTTTGAGCCCACCAGCCTCTCTCTCCCAGGTGGAAAGAGGCGGCAGTCTGCTCTCCTAAAGACGGCAGTGTTGGCGTCTCTCTGGGCCGGCCAGCCTGTCCCATAGCATTCGCTAAGGGTTCAAAACGATTCAGCAGCAGCGGCCTTAGGCTCCCTCCTTCCTCTTTCACCTGAGTTCAGCAGACAGGGCCGTGCGATGGAAGAACAGGTCCCACTCAGGAGATAATGCGAACGCAAGGTCCTGTGGAGGGTGCATGCCCCTCTGGTAACACTGGGTGTCATTTATACCTTGACCAGAGCACAGTGGGCCTGCTAAGCTGTTTTATGAGAGAAGAGCTTCTTCCCCTAAGAGCACACCTTATAGTGGTCCTCCACCTTCCTAAAGCCGAGACCTGTCGTACAGTTCCTCATGTGGTGACCTCCAACCATACAATTATTGTCCTTGCTACTTCATCATTGTAATGTTGTTACTGTTATGAATCATCATGTAAATAGATGATCTGCAGGATGTATTTTCATTGTCATAAATTGAACATAATTAAAGCATAGTGATTAATAACAAAACAATATGTCATTCTATATTGTGAAATATTTATGTGTTTTCCGATGGTCTTAGGCGATCCCTGTGCAAGGGTCGTTTGACCCCCAAAGGGGTCGTGATCCACAGGTTGAGAACCGCTGCCTTAGAGGTTCAAGCCCATTTTTCTTTTCAGCATGAGTGGAGGTTACCTTTAAAAATAGAGGGGAGAATAAACCCAAAAAGCACCCCACACCTCCCTATACACCAGTCAGTGCCTGTTAAAGAAAACACTAACCGATTTCAAATCCCTTTGCGCCTGGGCTTTTAGGAGCCAGCGCTTTGCGGTGCTAAAGCCTCTCCCTGGGAAATTGGGAAGCCGCGTGTGTCAGGTTGCCTGGGGCCTCCCGGCCACCTTTATGAAGGCTGACCTCCCGGTGAGAAATAGCGCCGGGCCAGGGCTTTGGCCACCTTCCGTTCCCTGTCTGACGGCATGGGGACAGGGCTCTCCTGCATGGTTCCCTCCCCGTCAGGGCAGAGCGGACACCGGGATAAGATGAAAATGCCCCCGCTTCGCTTCCGGACTTCTAGCTCCCTCCATCATTATTCCCCTTGGTTCTCGCTGTCCCAGGTTTGGAACGGAAGAGTCAGCCTGTTTTTGTTTTTCCAGTAGGATGGGCCACACAGGAGGCCCTGCTGGCCAGGTTTAGATGAGCCGGCCAGGCAGGAGGACAGAGTGATATCTAAGTTGGACAGACTGATTCTTAGTTGGGGTGGGTGGCGACGGTGGCAGATGGACCCTCTCCCCGCCCACATAAAGGACGTGGAAGCTATCCAGCAGGGCAACGTTGCTACACATTTATAAACAAAAGCCAGGCGTGGAAATGCATTGCCCAGTTGCCAGAGTTTGACGTGCCCGTGGGCACACCATAACCACAAACAAATCTCAGGGGTGGACAGCCAGTGGGCCCTCCTCTGTGCAGAGAGCAGACGGCAGGCTGGGATGGGGTGGGGGGGAATACAGAAAGCCTATTGTATACAGCTGGGCCCACGGTGAGCCCCAGCAGAGGAAGAGCGGTCCCCTACCAGTGGCTGTTTGTGCTGCCGACACTGCCAGGGGTGAGGGCCAGGCTGCACCCCTCTCCCCCACCTTGGGTATGTGTGTGTGCTGGGAGAAGGGAGGTAGTGGGGCTTTTGGACCCTCCCTGGATCACATGCTATCCTGACGCCCAATGGGAGGCTGTTGCTGGGGAGAGAGCTTCTCCTGTCCCACAGTGACCCTCCAGCAGAGAGAAGGAGGGGTGGGGAATGCTTCTTTCCCTTCCTTGTTACCAATAGCAACTCTCATTCTGTCCCCTCCCAGGCCTGGCAAGTCCAAGGCTGCCTTCTCTCTCCTCCTTCCCTCCCTCTGCAGCACGTTTCTCTGCGGTCTCAGGGGGTTGCTGTGACTGTCACTGCTGTGGTCATCGCCGTTCACTGCCACAGGGCTGGTCACGGTGTGGCTCACAGGGCCCCACATACCATGAAAGGAATCCTGTTCTTGCATCATTCCCATGACTGGGTGAGGATTTAGCTGCTGTGATCCTCAGGGCTGGCACGGGCTGGCTTTTGGACATACATTTCCAAGCTTTCCTTCCTAGGCCGTCTGCGTCTGGAAGTTCTACGGAAAACCTGTTCTGGACCAGAGCGATGCGCAAGCAAGCTTCCGCCGGCAGAAGGCAGGGCTTGTGCATTAGGAACACTGGCCAGGAATTGAACCGGGTCTCCCATCCGTCAGCACCCCGGCCTAGAGTATAACTCTAGTATTAGTATTAATAGAGATGATTAGTATTAAAAGAGACTTCCTCTATGGGGAGGGGTTAGCCAGTGCATTAGTGGGAGCCACAGAGGTTTCAGTTAACGCAGCAGTTCTCAACTTGTGCGTTGCAACTCCTTTGGAGGGTTGAACGACCCTTTCACAGGGGCCACCTAGGACCATATTTCCAATGGTCTGAGGAACCGAGACACTGCTCCTCTGCCCATCGCCAGGAGGGTCTGCCCTTATGCAGATAGGCCCACAGATGGGGTCACCACAGCATGAGGAACTGCATTAAAGGGTCGCAGCCTCAGGAAGGGTGAGAACCACTGAGTTAAGGGATCACTCGTGAAAGAACTTATCAAAAGGACCGTGCCACTCTATGGTCCATCTGGCCCTGGAGATGGTCCAGGGCAGAGGTTCAAGACTGTATCAGGGAAGATTTATCCCTTCTACATAGAGAAAGAGGGAACAATGGATATTTTAATGTAATCATAGCATTCAATGATCCTCGTAGATACACATATACACACACACTCACACACACACGTAAAACATCCGGCCCAACCCCTGGTTCTGTTTCCCAAAACTTTGGCCACTCACATACTTCTAAACACAATTTGGCTACAGCCTCACACCACCCACACTAGTATTTATTTAGTATTTTTCTTTTAATTCAAGTTTTCCATAAATATGTGTATTAAAAGGAAAGGCTATATCACTGCCCAAAACAAAAACAAACAACCTCTGTATCACATGCTATAAAAAGAAGGTAATCGTCAAAACAAAATTAGAAACGTTCAGCCACGTTATCAGCTGCCATCTGCTTGTGTACCACCAGGCGTGTGTGTGCCCCAGCTTACATGGGCACATCTCCCTTAGGGAAGAGGCCTCAGCCAATCTAATAGGCTGGCTCTCCGAACCACCACCCTCCCTGAGGAGAAGCTCTGGGCTGCCAGGACAGACATCCGTGGGAAGTACACGTTACGGAGCTTCCCGGTCTCACTTTGCCCTCTTACACATTTCCCCCTCCTGCTCCTTACCTTGTAGGTGTGAGGGCAAAGACTTGCGGTGCAGAAAATGGGGACTCAATAGGCACTTTAACGTGAGCGAGAAGCCAAGGTGAGTCATCCACCAAGCCCTCTAGTCTAGATCCGCCTACTCCTGCGAGCAGCACCCGAGGAGCTGAGTGAGTCGAAGGGGGAATCAGAGGAAAAACCAGCTGGAGGCTGGACTCACCACTTCTTAGACTTCAGGCGAGGTGCAGGGTTCCGGGGGATGAGGAAGAGGGCTCTCATGGGGTGCATGTCACAGAGTGCTGGAAGAGAGCAAACCAGGAGCCAGCTGGGGTTACAAGGTCAGCGAGATGCTGCCTTGAGACCAACCACGACCCGGGGCAAAGCCTGAACATCACAACGCTTCGATTGGCGCCTGTTGAACAGAGCTGATGTCTGACGATGGGCGTCTCAACGTGTCAGATGCTTCCAACAGATGCTGTTCCAATTTCCAGTGACCATGCCTTCATTTAATATTTAATGGAACCCCTAAGCTTCCCTAGGAAAGAGCCCTAGGGGCATATGCATCGCACTGGGCTATGATAGGCAAGGTCAGCAGTACAAACCCCCCAGCTGCCCTTCGGGAGAAAGACGAGGCTCTCTACTCCCTTAAACAGTTCCAGGTTTGAAAACCCGCAGGGGCAGTTCCAGTTGGTCCTATAGGGTCGTTGAGAGTCGGCGTAGACTTGATGGCTCTGTGTGTGTGTGTGTGTGTGTGTGTGTGTGTCTAATGCCTCCACTTAGTCTTCAAGGGAATTAATCTAAAAGAACCATTGTTAGCCTTGTTAAAGTAACCACTTAGGACCCAAAATAAACAAGAGTGGGATGGCAATTATAGTGACTTCTTTTCAACGACTCATAAAACAAGCTATATTTGATAACCCATGATCAATTCCTTATAGACTAGAAACAAACAAATACACAAACAAACGACCCCAAACTCACTGTTATGGAGCCAATTCTGACTCACGGTGACCTTATAGGACTACAGAGAACTGCTCTTGTGAGTCTCCAACATGATAACTATTCATGGGAGTGGACAGCCTCGTCTTTCTCTGGCTCCTAACCAGAGAAAGGCTCATTCAAATGCATTGCTTCCATGTGGGAGTTTAGAGTCTACAGCCGTAGACCGGATGCCATTCTCTCGGTATTTCCGGATAGCTGTGGGGCTTTGCTGGCTCTGTGACTAGGAATTTTGGCTCATGGACACGAGGAAGGGCAGAGGATTAAGCCAAAGAGGACAGCGGTAAAACTAACTTATAAAAAAACCCTCACCTGAGTAACATGGCATGAATGCTGATAGTGAAAGTGCACACACATTCCTATTTAAATAAAAGTATTTCACTCGTCTACTTTTCAAACCCCCGTCACTGTTTTTGCTTTGCACCTAGAATAAGAAGCTATTCTCCCTAAAATCCCAAGGAGTCCGTGGGTAGAGGGTTTCATTTCGAACCAGTCTCTCACTCATCCAGGATGATAATAGGGGCTTCACACAGTAGTATCCTATTTTTCTGAGCCACAAGTGCCTATTAGCATTGGAGATGAGAAGATTTCTGCCAACTAACGCTGAGAATAACGCTGAGTTCTACCAACTCTACCCTGTGCTGTCTTGAAGGTAAAAAGAAAAATCCATGGTGTACAACAATGTGTCAAGGAAAGCCAAGGCATGTTTCCATCTGGGATCTCTGAGAAACAGACCCCAGTGGGGAATAACATGTAAGCACGCCCATTCGCCACCCCCGGGACAATTCCTGCATGGAAGTGGGGCTGATAGGGCAGGCGGGGAGAGCAGTCATCCCTGAGTGACGGAGAGCTGCTGAAATGCTCGACACGGTCCTAAAGCTCAAGATGGTTTAAGAAAGCTCCTGGAGGATTCTTTGGGTCAAAGTTGCCTACAATGGGGTCACGTGTCTCCCAGGAAAGGTCCTGCCTTTGTATCCCTGCCCCCTCACTGCCATCGCCTGGAGTGGCCCTTAGGAGCCACATCTTAGGGTCAGCTGAGCCTCGAGGCCCACAGCCATCATGCTTCCTGGACTAGACATGTGGGCTGTATGTTCTCAGAGCCACACGGGCAGGAGGAGGCATGCTGAAGGGCTAGTACCCCTGAGAGCAAGGAGCTAGAAAGATGCTTGCCCGGCAGGGCCTCCCTGCCTTCCCGCCCCAGGCATCATCAGCAGGGAAATTTAAAACCCCAACAACAGTGACCACTGCCTCTAAGTACAAGGGTTCCTATAACCCTCTCGAATGCTGGGGGAACGCTGGCTGGAGATTTTCCTAAATGGGAGCGAGCTTCTGGGTGGGTTGGTCCTGGTTTGAAGTCAGGATACGAGGACGTCTAAGGGAAAGGACAAGGCGTCTGGAAAACACAACAGGACGCTCCACAGTGCGCTTTCCACTGCCGTCTGTAATGTTCCCCGTGGAGGGAAGAGCACTCGGAGACGAATGGATTCCTGGTGGATGCGAGGAGACTCTGCTTTCTAAGGATGCCAGCCAGAGTCCGTGCAGGGCTCGGTGTAGCGGAAGGAAAGCTACCGCTGCTCCTGGCCAGGAACCCGAGTGCCCGCTGGGCCAGGCCAGCCAGGCACTGCAGCCCGGAGGAAGGGAGGCCGGGGAGGGGAGGTACTTACGGGGAGCGCCTTCTGCCATCTCAATGGCGGTGATGCCCAGAGACCACAGGTCACTCTGCAAAAAGAAGGAGGGCACACAGGCACCATAAGTTCCAAGAAGGACAACCACCTGGCTCCAGCTGGCCATGCTTGAGGACTGCCTGCCCGTGGGAAAGCCATTCGGTTGTCTGCTGGGACCCGCCTGCTCCCACCCCGAAGCTGAACAGCAAGAGCTGTGCCGTATTCACTCTTCACAGACCACGTCCTTCCCGGTGCCCGGCCCCTGGCATGTTCCCAATACATGGTTGGAAGGGGAATAGACAGTGTTTTTAGTTAATTAGTCACGGAAGTTTATCTGTCGATGAGAGTACCTGAAATAGCTGTAAGGCCAGGAGAGGTTTTTAAAACACCTCTATTAAGGGGGCACTCGTCCTGCAATAAACTGCCCACATGTTAAATGATCATTTGCTAATGTTTGACTTCTCCACAGGCCTGTGAAAATATCTCCACAGTCAGGAAAATAAATGTGCCCATCGTGCCCAAAGATCCCATTTGGCCAGTG